TAAATGAATGAGCAAGATTAAAAAACAATAGGCAAAAGAGACATTAAAACAACAAAGGGAATAAAATAGCCTAAATAAAATAATCAAATAAATTAAAAATAGATAATAGACCAATGTATATGAGAACTATAAATCAAAACACTCTTAATTTAAAGAAAATAAATCAATTTAAATTAAAAAAAACTATCATTTTAAAGCTTATAATGTGGAGAATACGAATATATTAAAATTTTCTTTTTTTAGTCACTGCAAGGTAATTCAACAGAAGGACGCACATCTCCGCTCTCGAACATAGCGTGTGCGTACAGTCCTTTGTTCTTTACTGTGGCATCAACAATACGATACTAGTTGCGAGTACAGCCGTCAATTATTAGTCTATGCGTGCCATTTGTTTTATGGTGTTAGTTTTTATTTTATTAATTTTGGGTACTTCGCAATGTCTGTTACATCTGATTTTTTTGTACCGCAAGCTTGTTAAATGCTTCTATAAACTGCAATTTGATTTGTGAAAATTGACCAAGAAAATGAAAAGTTATAGCAATTTAAAATTTATGTATTTTATAAAATTTCCTGTTCTTATGTAACATTAATCTGTCATTTTTATGTTGGCATAAGGTGCCGAAAATGAACATTTGAGTATATACAGAAAATTTATTAATTTTTTCTGCAAAGTAAGTCTCATGAACGACAATTCACCACAATTTTGGTAAAATTAATGTTGAAATGAAGAATATATTTCAGTCTAATGTTAGTGCAAAATATCATTAGTCCTTTGGTGCAATCATTGCGCGACGCGTGATTATCATGGCAACTGTCACGCACATGGGTAATTCGTCACGTACGCTGACGGTTTATGTTCTGGTTGCTATGGTTTTTGTGACGTTCAGCGTGTAGGGACGCACGTGCGCCTAGAATGTCGATGCCAGAGTTATAACCTTTGATGTCCCGAGATGTGCGTCCTTCTGTTGAATTACCTTGGTCACTGATGCTAGTTTTGCAATGGCAAACCTCATAATAAAGAAAAGATCAACATGAAAGCAAACCTGAATTAAATTTATAATTGAAGCCTTCCAGAGTATCTGGAAATTTTATCTCCTCAAATTTCTCTTCTTCACTTAAATCTTCATCATCTTTTAAATTATGTACTTTCTCCTCTTCCTTTATATCTTCAGTTTGTTTGCTCTTCTTATTTTCATTGGATTGGTCTTTTGTATCATTTTCATCTTCTGTCATTTTTTCCTCTTCTTCTTTATCATCCTTTAATTTTTTTTCTTCCTCTGTTTCCTTCATGTCTTCAGTTTCAGTTTGTTTTCTCTTTTTATTTTCATTGGATTGCTCTTTTGTATCATCATTTCCATCTTCTGACATTTTCTCCTCTTCTTTATCTTTTAAATTTTTTTCTTTCCCTGTTTCCTTCACATTTTCAGCTTCAGTCTGCTTTTTCTTTTCATTTTCATTGGATTGCTCTTTTGTATCATCATTTCCATCTTCTGACATTTTCTCCTCTTCTTTATCATCTTTTAAATTTTTTTCTTTCTCTGTTTCCTTTACATTTTCAGCTTCAGTCTGCTTTTTCTTTTCATTTTCATTGGACTGCTCTTTTGTAACATCATT